ATTAGTTGCGAAAAGTACATTTGCTAAAAGTTTATTTGGGAAATGAAACTTTGGCGATAAGTTGTTTGCGAAGTGAAATTTGGCGAAAAGTAATTTGGCCAAACGGAAGGATACCGACAAATTATGATACGATCCAACCACTCGCCTACGGTGAAGAGATGCCCTGTAAAGCGTGAAAAAATCGATGTTGGTATTTGCGCGTCTATTCCATAACTATAATAAAGGAATGGGTGGAGTGGATAAACTCGACCAGTCAATATCACTATATACAGGATTGCTATTCACAGAAAAAAATGGTGGTGGGTACTCTTTACCTAATATGGTAGACATAGCATTAGCAAATGCCTGGCGTTTGTACATCGTAAGCCATGAGTATTATATTGATCATGTTGACCAGCTCATGTTTAGACGTGCCATTGCAAAATTTTATTTACGTCAATGAAAACAACGCTACCCAAAAACCGCCCCTCGTCATCTGGGGTGCAATGTTTAGCACAATATGCTTCCGGACACTATCCCCAAAAGCTTAAAATGCAATTACGTAGTGGCAAACTTGATTGAAAACATTGTGCATAGAAAAATAATGTTTTGAAAAATATCACCTGTAAGTGGCCGTTGTACTCGCTTGGGTACCTACAACCGGGTTACCTACGCCATATCGAATGACAAATGATCGAAAATATCGAATAAATATCGAATACGTTTCATCGAACGATCAAAATATCGAACGATCATAATATCGAATGCTCAAAATATCGAACGTTCAGAATATCGAACGATCAAAATATTGAACGATCAAAATATCGAAAGTCGATATAGACTTTTTTTTTAATTCATCTACCTTGCTCAGCTCCGATGCATGGTTGTGTTTGGTCGTAGTTTTGTTTTGCCAGTTAATTTGTGCCTTAATGATAGATCGCCCGGAGTCCTGCCAGCAGGACTTAAAGTACTTCCGGTAGGACGCAAAATTAAAAGATCACAGTTTCGTAAGTATACATTGTACAAATTTCAAATTTACACGAAAAAATAGAGTGTTTCTCTCTCTTTCACCCAATAGTGCCCAAGAGCGAAAAACGCGACTAACCGTTAGTCGGAGCCCGATGGCGCACGAGTATACACGGGGGCAGCGCGTTCGCGCTCGCGCGACACATTTTGACGCGCCGGGCGTGGAGTCGGCAACATTTTGGCGATAATATTATAATGAATGTGAAGTATTCCAGCCTAATCAAACATTTATAATTTATTTCTTGTTTTTGTTTTTAATTTGTAGTGTATTTGTAAGTGATAGGTGTAATTTCTAATACAAAGTGACGTACCAAAGTAATTAATTTAAAGTTCCTTATTATAGTTCCTATTAGTTAAGTTGAAAGAAGATAAACAAGTTTATAATATATTAAGAAAAGTAAAATACTGGTTAAACAAAATGGTACTTTGAATTCAATAAATAAGTAAGTACATGATGCGTTTTGTTTTTGTTAATTATAAAATAATTAAAAACGTATTAAAAATTTCCCTACTTTCGGGAAAATCGCCTTCACTGTCTACACTCCCCAACAAAATTGACACTAATGACATAAGATTTTTGCCTCACTCTTGACGAAGCGTTTGTATGAAGACTATCCATCTAGGTTTTATTAATCTAAGTTGACAAGTTGTACAACCAAACACAACCATGCACCGGAGCCGAGCAAGGTAGATGAAATTTAATAAAAACGTCTATATCGACTTTCGATATTTTGATCGTTCGATATTTTGATCGTTCGATATTCTGAACGTTCGATATTTTGAGCATTCGATATTTTGATCGTTCGATATTTTGATCGTTCGATGAAACGTATTCGATATTTTGATTTTCGATCATTTGTCATTCGATATGGCGTAGGTAACCCCCTACAACCCCCTAATTTCCATAAATAAAAAAAACTCATTTTGTGTTTATGTGTGACATTATGTGTGTATATGATTCAGAAATACCGGTAGTTTCATTTTGGCGCTTAATGGGTAAGGAAATAGAATACCTGCCTAAACCGTTCAAGGTCTGGGGTGAACAAATGTTTTTGTGTGAACTGTACCAACATGCATCATGTACCTACATGCATCGCCTCGATAAGCAACTCATGTGCGGCACACAAAAACAAGTGTGACTCAAGTATGATACATGCTACACATACACGCGCCATGACTTGTGTTACCAATATTAGTTTTATCAACTATTCTCGGAAAGCCACTTAATTTAAATTTAGGATCTGGGTACCTACTTTGTTAAGGAAACCCAACTTGAAAATCAAATATCTGTTATCTATAGTAAATAAATAGGTAAACTATTACCTACCTAAGTAGTTACCTAATAAATACTTATGCTAATTCTTTGTATCTGAGAACAAAGTGGGTAGCAAAAATAGGAATAAAAGGGAAGACGCAAACATTTTTATGTTTAGAAAAGAAACGTTAAAGGACAATGACCAAAAGTGGTCCAAATGTCCACCACCAATGAGACCTATATTGGCTTATAGTCCATTAAATAGAGATTAACTTTCAGTATGGGATGAAAAAAAAATAAGCTGTCAGTAAAAAGTTAAGACTGTTTGAAAAATTGTAGTAGTTTACGCGCTAATCTCAGGAACTACTGGTCCGATTTGAGAAATTCTTTTTGTTATGGATAGCCCATTCATCAAGGATGGTTTTAGAATAAATAACATCACCCTACAACTAATAGAGGCGGATCAGTAGTGACAAATGTTGTAAAAATGAGAAATATTATTTAAACTATTTTCACGCGTACAAAGTCACAGTCACATAAAATTCAACTATAACCCCGCGCCACATGCGACATGACATAACATGCGTAGATTAGTCCAAAATGTGCAATGGATAGAATGATACCAAGAACATTTTTCGGATGAAAAGGTAAAAAACAGACTTTTCGTTCAGTCATAACTTTTTACTGACAGCATATTTTTGATTGCGGTTTGGTTATAATGAATCAGTATTTAGTAGACTATTTAACTACATAGTTCTCATTAGTGGTGGACATTTGGACCACACTCCATACATTTTTGGTCATTGTCCTTTGCTTGAATAAGCTTCATGCCAGGTATCGTGCGTGTGTGATGACTTAAGGTCCTATGTCCCCTAGATGGGGCAGAGGGCGTCCACAACGGTCCTCCATCTCGTTCGGTCTTGAGCTTCTCGCTTGATCTCGCTCCAGGTCTTGCCGATCTTCTTCGCCTCGTCCACTACAGTGCGCCGCCAAGTTTGCCTGGGGCGACCACGTTTGCGTTTTCCTTGGGGATTCCAATCCAGAGCCTGTTTAGGGATGTGATCGGGGTCCCTTCGGAGAGTGTGGCCAATCCAGTTCCACTTGCGGCGCTTGAGATACTACCGAAACGACTAACGCTCAGCTCATTTCGGGCACATTTACACCAGAAAGTTATTAAACTTTACTTCTGGCTCAAAATTATTTACATCATTAGAATGTTTAAAGAAAACAACATTTTGCTAGGAAAAACTCGTAAAGGGAAAACATTTTGCTGGGAAAATTGGTCCTACGTTATCACACCGCTTTTCAGCTGTAGTTTCCACAGAATACCTACCTACCTACCCCAGATCTGGATCTGGGTTCTGCTCATATACTATAAACTGAGGTTCTATCCTAGAGCACGATACAATAATTATGAGGGTGGTTGCCATTTTGGTTAAAAGAAACGATGTAGGTAGATTAAATACACACAGTGAAGGTCCGAATCTTATCTGAACAATCTGATATTGATCATAAATAATTAAACATATTTTTTTAATAATTGTAATATTTTAAAAAAATACAATAAACTTTAAAAATCTTAGTAAATAAGAATACCTTACATATAATTATTTCCAGATTTATTTTCAATACGACATCGCGATTATACACTGGTGAGATACGTGTTAAGATATGTATTTAGTACGGTGCACAAAAACTGTGTATAAATTTTATTGTTACTAATTTTAAATAATAGTCTTTTTGTTACACTTTGCACCACCTAAATTTGACCGTAATTATGATGATAATCGGTGTTTTTTGTATGGAGTTTGACAGATTTTTGACGTTTGACAAAGTTAAAGTAGGATGATAGTGCACCCGTGCAACCCAGCCTAAAACTAGATTTATTTGAATGAAGTATAAAAAACTAATAATAACTAAACTAAAATTACTTATAATAAATTATGTTACTCGTATTTTATTTACAAAATATTATTACAAAACTAGCGGCCGCCCGCGACTTCGTACGCGTGGATCCCGTTTTACCCCCTTCATCTATCTTACGCGGTTTAGAGTTTTTCATACAAATGTTTTTTCCCGCTAACTCTCGTTCCCGTGAGAATTTTGCAATATCCTATTGTAACTAAGCTTTAAGTTAAGTTTGCATGCCAAATTTCAAGCGGCGGTTTAGATTTTTCATACAAAAGGATTTTCCCGCCAATTCCCGTTTCCGTGGGAATTTCGGGAATTCCTTTCTTAGTGCACCTCTACGGTACCTAAGCTAAGTCCCTTCCAAATTTCAAGTGCCTACGTTTAGCCGTTTAGGCTGTGCGTTGATATGTCAGTCAGTCAGTTTCTTTTCCCAAAATTTCCCTTCACTACTCTGCTCCTAAGTATACCTACTATAACCTGCCCAGGAGTATGAAGAATAATTGTACCAAGTTTCGTTAAAATCCGTCGAGTAGTTTTTGTTTCTATAAGGAACATACAGACAGACAGACAAAAATTTTACTGATTGCATTTTTGGCATCAGTATCGATCACTAATCACCCCCTAATAGTTATTTTGAAAATATATTTCATGTGCAGAATTGACCTTTCTACAGATTTATTATAAGTATAGATAAAAAATACATCACACAGTAGATATGAGCTGTGTACATCACCCCCAGCGCCGCAGTCGGTAACGGTTTTAAAACATCAAATCAAACAAATTAACTGACTACCCATACTTAAGTTGTAGTGAGTGAAAGGTGGTGAGTTTAAAATTCTCAAGCCATACAATAATCAAAATAAATGGCACGAAAGGGCGGCGAATCTACTGCTACGGCTTATCAACAACTTAAAAAAAAGAAGAATGGTAAAGTACAACAATGAAATTCGTAGCATTTTCTTATCTTGATTAACACTTAACAATACTAATTAACACTTAAAACTTTCTGCAGGAGTTCAGCAGAAGATTATACAAAAGTATAAGCAGAGTCTTACCTCAAGAGCAGGACTCAAACTGCCAGTAAGCCACGTGGACAAGTTGATTCGGCAGTTAGTTCCGCAAAAAATTAACCGCCCAGCTAGTATTTTCCTCACAGCTGTGCTGCAGTATTTGTGTTCCGAACTCCTGGTAATATCCAAAATGGCTATGGAGACCCGTGAAAAGTATGTATGTTTATATAATTTTATTTAAAAAAATAAAACCGACTCCAAAAATCATGCACTAAAAAGTATAAAAATAATTGCAAATTAATTATTTATTAGGACGAATTAATATTTATACCATGATTGATACTTTTGGAGTCGGTGCAGGCAAACTTCACACGTTTCATAATCTGGCACCGACTCGGTTTTTTATTTATTAAAATTAACTTATTTCTTGCTTTTTAGTTAACTAATTATTACCTTGATGTTACCACTGAAGGTCGGGAGTACATTGAGACTATATTCATGTCAAGTGTAAAATAAAATTCCCTACAAAATACAGGTTACCATATCGGCAACCTAAAAAGACCTCAAACCGTCAGCCCACCTTAAAAACATGAAAGAATACAACTGTTGGTCTATTTGTAGTTTTTTACCTGTGGTACATTGTAATTGAAACTTGAACAGGTGGCCTGACAGAGTAATAGACACTATGAGGTAATTTAAATAATTAATTTCTCAGTCATTTCTAGATGGATTTCAAAAATAACTTCACCGGCTTTTTAGTTTTGGTCTATATTTTAATCCCATTCGGTGAAATGTAATGTTTTCATCATCACGAAACTTGTCCATTGACGGAGTAATCGGTGAACATACTAGAAAAAAGAAATATATACCTACAGTCGAACATATTATTAAATAACCTCCTCCTTTTTTAAAGTCGGTTAATTATGTACTAGCTTTCCGCCCACGGTGAATTTTGTCTGTCACAGAAAAACTTTATCACGTGCGTCCCCGCTTCAAAACCCGGGATAAAAACTATCCTATGTCCTTTCCCGGGACTCAAACTATCTCTATGCCAAATTTCGTCAAAATCGGTTCAGAGGTTTAGACGTGAAAGCAGAAGCAAGACAGACAGAGTTACTTTCGCATTTATAAATTAGTATATGTAGATGTTACAGGAAATGTATGAATTCTAGGAATTGTATACTATTCCTAGGAAATGTATATACAATTCCGAAGCTATTTAGGAAATGTATAAAATATTGCTTCAGACATTTTTATTACGCACATATCCTAGGAAATGTATACTTTTCCTAGTAATTTTATAGAATTCCAATATTGTATTAGGAAATGTATAAAACTAAGCGGCACTAGCGCGGTCGCGTGATCGGGTGCCCCTCGGTACGCCTAAAATTTTATTTAGCTAAACCATATTGGCCGATAGGTACTTCTAACTCACAATTTATTATTGTTTAGCCTGACAGTTGTTTTCGCACTATTATACTTTGACTGAAAAAATATTTGCCTATAATTTATTGGCATACCTTTCCACTTTTAACGATCATAGCAAATGTTGTGATAGGGATAGAGACATGCGATTTTTTGTTTTACAAAAGTAATACGACAGAGAATAATAAAAAGTAATAAAAATTTTAACCACCTGTTATAGGGGCATTTTTTTGAGAAATTTATCAAATAACCAAAAAAATACGAATTTTTAAGCAATTTTATTTCAAAAAGTTTCATTTTTTATTATTTGTTGGCATTTTCTGGGTATTTTATGTATTTTTTTTAGTCTCACCTGTTATTTAGCATTATTACTGCTTTTATTTGATCAAGATATACCTCTTAGTTTAAAAGTTATTACTTTTTCTTAGCATGAAGTAATTGAAAGAAAAAAAAATAAGGTACTTGATACAAATAAGGCCTACGTTCTAATAAGGCCTATACATCAGAAAACACAGATAAACAAATCCAACCGGGATAATACTTCAAGGACACGTACTCATATGCCCTACAACCCGGTAGAGTGCAAAAGCGTCCCGATCCATGATCCCAGCACCATTGGCACGTGTTCTTCTAAGGTGGTGGGTGATTTCGTGCTCTCTTATAAAAATCTGGCGATTTCATCTTACATTTTCGGTAAAATAACGCTGTTTTAGATAGGTAGGCCTTATTTGTATCAAGTACCTTATTTATAAAAATTTAAAAAAATCTCAAAAAAATTTTGACCTCTTTTTTTGTCGATAAAAATAGGTCTAGTTTTACCTTAATTCATATGTACACTTTAGCGTGACTCACACTGCATTATTCAAGAAAGTACCTACTTATACGGAAAAAAGACAGAAATAGCAGATAAATAGCAATAGCAATCTAAATACAGTGTGAGTCTTGATAAAGTGCACATATGAAAATAGGTGAAACTAGAACTATTTTTATGGACGAAAAAAATTTTAAAAAATATCTGGGATTTTTTTTATTGTTTTTAGATTTTTTTATTTTCAGTTACTTAATGTAAAGAAAACTTAGTAACTTTTAAACTAAAGGGTAATATCCTGATAAAATAAAAACAGTAATAATGCTAAACAACAGGCGATACAAAAAAAATATTTTTTTTTTGTATCGCCTGTTGTTTAGTAAAAAACACGAATTTAAATGCAGATTTTTTCAAAAAGATTTTTTTTTATTTATTGCCATTTCTGGGTATTTTATGTATTCATAAAATACCCAGAAATGGCAATAAATAAAAAAAAAATCTTTTTGAAAAAATCTGCATTTAAATTCGTGTTTTTTTGGTTATTTTATAATTTTCTCCAAACAATTCCCCTATAACAGGTGATTTTTATTTCTTTGTGTTATTCTCTATTGTATTTTCTTTGTAATACCAAAAATTTCATGTCTCTATCCCTATCACAACGTTTGCAATGATCGTTTGAACTAAGTCGCTCCGGGCGCACTATTCAACGTTTTGTTAACAACGAAGCTGAGTGTGGCTCTAGATTTGTGCCTGGGATAAAGCCGCAATAGCCATAGCAGCAGTTTTCCGATTAAGTGATTTTAGTAAACTGCGGGTCCCTATACACCTTTTGAATTTTTTTCAGAATTTTATCTTTGAAACTGCCTGATTTACCAAAAGCACTATGGATATTGAATCGTTATTCCCATTCATCATTTAAAATTTGTTGACCGGAATAATCGTGCCATATACAATATTGAAACTTTTATTTAAATCTTCTACAAGCAAACGGCTATTACTGTATCCTTCACATCAGCGCCAGAGGAAAAAATAATGTCAGATAGATAATTATTACGATGTCATTAGAACATAATTCTGTTACTATGTATAAATATTATGTATGTACATATTTACGGTAAATGTATATTATTAATAATTACCGTTTATCTAAATATACAGGGTGTCCCGTAATTCAACGTCAAGCCGGAACTGGGTGTTGAGGCAAGTTATGCTGGTTATCAGAAAAATGTAAAAAAAAATCTATGTGGCATTTTGTCAAAATAATAGGCATTTAAAAAAAATCAAAAAATTCTACTCCCGGTGATGGTCTTTTTACTCGTGTTGCCACAAATCTTCACTTTTTCCAAATTTTTTTTTGTTATGTAACCCTGAATAATGCTTCTCTAACGGGAACGGTAATTAGCGGGAAAATCCTTTTGTATGAAAAATCTAAACCGCTTAAGTTAGACGCTTGAAATTCGGCATGCAGGTACCTTAGTAAGCTTAAAGCTTCGTAACAACAGGATATTGCAAAATTCCCACGGGAACGGGAGTTAACGGGAAAAAATCTGATTCGCGGGCGGCCGCTAGTCTATACATATAAAAATGAAACCCGTTTTCCGTTGTCACGACATAACATGAAAACGGCTTGAACGATTTGGCTGTTTTTTTTTGTAGTTTTCTAATACTCTGTACAAGGTTTTTACGGAAAAAAATATAAAGAAAATCTCTACGTTAAGGCGGTACGAAGTTCGCCGGGTCAGCTAGTTATGTATAATTACCGCATGATTATTTTGTTAAATGTGATTAATATGAGATCTTTTATGTGTGTATACCTAAACCTAAACAGGCTTAGCTTAGTTTTTACGTTTTTTTAGTCTTTTCTTCCTCTAGTTATTATTTTTTAATTTGATTTTAAAATAAAACAAAAAAATAGTTATTAAAATAACTCCAAAAAACCTGCACTAAAAAGTAAAAAATATTTATTTATTAGGACAATAAATAAATAATGTAATTATTTTCTACTTTTTAGTGCAGTTTTTTTGGAGTCTCCTGTCAATGTCACGGGTATTTACAAATTCCTAAATAGTACCTACTCTTTAAAAAATATTGAGTGCGTATTACACGTACAAATAAAAATAGTGAGCTTCTATCCCTACAGTACCTAATGTTAGACCAATGTTATAGGTAGCAAGTAAGGAAGTACCAACTCTGTGAATGAGGATATTGTTATACCTAATTTAAAGACACCCAATGAACCCTTGCAAATCAAATAATTGCTGACTTCAAGGATCCTCTAAAAAGCATTATTTTTTGCAGACTGATACTACCACGACACATTGAAAAGGCCATCCTCCACGACGACGAAATTGCCAGGATGCTGCCTGGCGTAATAATCAGCAAGATAACATCAAAAAAGAATAACCACAAAAATAAATATTACATTTGCCACTAGCAAAAGCACTAGTGGCAAATATAATATTTTTTGTGGTAATATTTTTACTTGTATAAAAAATGTTGTTTTTTATTTTTAATTATTATTTTATTTTTATTGTTAAATATTTAATTTTATTTGGATTATGTAATTTTATTTTATTTTGATTTGAATGTTGTAATTATACAGGGTGTTTGGCGGAAGTTTAGACAAACTTCGTGGGTGTATAAATAAGGTCACTTTAAGAATACAAGTTTGCCCATTCAACTTAGAATTCGATTTAAAAAAAATTAAAGGTGATAACGGATTGCCAATGATCTTTAAAACATCTGTAGCTTGTCTTCTTTCCAATGATAATATCACATGTAGTAATTAGATTAATTATTAGAAACTGAAATTCGTCAAAAATTCAAAGTTAATGGAAGAAAATGGAATGATAATACAAAAATTATCCATAAAAAGTATATTTTGAATTTTTTAAAACATTTTCTTTGTAATGTGCTTACTATTTTTAATTTGATTTTGAAATAAAACACACAAAAATAGTTATGAAAAGGAGTATAGCAGAAAATATAAAGATGTTTGAAGAAACTTTGTATGGATAATTTTTGTATTACTATTCCACTTTCTTCCCTAAACTTTGAATTTTTGACAAATTTCAATCTGACTACTACGTGTGATTTATCATTGGAAAGAAGAGAAGCTGGAGACGTTTTAGATCATTGGCAATTCATTATCACCATTATTATTTTTAAATCGAATTCAAAGTTGAATTTTTATCATGGTTTGTACTTTTGTTAAACTTTGGCGGCTTGTAACTAGCTATCCAATCATTATCTGGATCTGAAATTAATTTTATTTGACTTAAAACATATTCGATATTAATACCAAATAAAAAAATCGGTGAAAACACGCAAGAAAAAGAATTTAAGCAGTTTTCAGGTCAAAGAAGAACGGTCATCTGTGACCCAGGCCCGACAGAAACGAAACATACCTCAGTTTTTTTGTCATGTTTTAATTAGTTAAATTATATATTTTTTATATTCGAAATCTATGTATAACACCAAAATATTACCCTTTGTTTTTGTTCAGGCGTTATACAAAAACTAATACAAAATGCCTATTTATCACCAAAATTGGTAAATGTATGTACCTAAATGTCTATTACAGCTGCTATGGAATGTATCTAGGTGACCTGGAGATACAGCCGGATTATACAGGGTGGAAACGAGAAGTTACAAAATCCAAAAATTCAATGTCACCAGCTTCCATAATCTGTAACCTATTATTGGTACCATTTGAAAGAGCTCGTGAAAATGGCTCTAGATTTGTAATTTTGATAAAGACAAGTTAGATTTCAAATAAAAACAAAAGATTTCTAAGTAAAATAAGCATTTTAGTTAAAATTAAAATTGTCTCTACCTGTAGCGGAGAATAATGTTGTGGCAGGCCTTTGTTCAAACGATCATACCAAATGTTGTGATAGGGATAGAGACATGCAATTTTTGGTTTTACAAAGATAATACGATAGAGAATAATAGAAAGTAATAAAAACCACCGGTTATAGGGGCATTTTTTGGAGAAATTTATCAAATAACCAAAAAAAATACGAATTTATAAGCAGAATTTTTTCAAAAAGTATATTTTTTTATTATTTGTTGGCATTTTTTGTGTATTTTATGTATTTTTTTAGTATCGCCTGTTATTTAGCATTATTACTGTTTTTATTTTATCAGGATATACCGCTTAGTTTAAAAGTTATTACGTTTTCTTTACAATAAGTAATTTGAAGAAAAAAAATTCTATAAAAAATTAAAAAAAAATCTCAAAAAAATTTTGACCTCTTTTTTGTCGATAAAAATAGGTCTAGTTTCATCTATTTTCATATGTACACTTTAACGTGACTCACACTGTATATCAAAAATAAAAAGTCGTAATCAACCCTGAAAAATACATACTTAATCACTTTTGACCAACTTCAAAGGGTATCACGACAGCTTGAAAAATTTAAATAAAAACAAAAATATCAATTTAAAAAAAAAGTAGCTCACTTAAAATGACCTTACCTATACACCCACGATGTTTGTCTAACCTTCCGCCAAACACCCTGTATAGTTTAATAAGTCGCTCAATATTTTCTGATATAGGTAGTATTTGAATAACAATAATTTCAACAACATTCAGGATTTAATTTGTTTATTTAAAGTCTACAATATCGTCAATAGTGAACAGCGAGAATAATTTAAATACAGTATGCAAAAGCGTGAAATAAATTTGGCACCACTTGTGAAAGATAGAAACAAAAAGAGATGTCAACTGGATAATATAGATTATCACGAGCTATGTATTATGCACCGCAGCTTTATTGAGCGCTTTGATGGTGAGCTTGTGGTGGCTGTGCCTGTACTGGGGCTTGGCCTTGAGTTTGAGGTGCCTGACCTTCAACTTTTGGCTGTCCTTGGGAGCCTGCAGGGGGTGGGGGTTGGTTCAGGCCTGCAGCGGGAGCAGGCGGCGGCGCTTGGCCTTGGCTGGATTGCGGGGGGACTTGGCCTTGCGCGGTTTGAGCCGGAACGGTTTGCTGGACTAGCGGTTGACCTTGGTTCACGTTGATGTTCTGGGCTTGGCCTTGCGGTGGCTGGTACTGTTGAGCTTGACCTTGGTACTCCTGGGGAACCTGACCGGGCGCTTGTTGATAGCCTGGAAATCATTTTATGTGATATTAACATTGAATGTGAATTAATAATATTTTTATTTGTATTGTTGATTATTTTTTCTTTATTTTCTTAGAACCAAAATATACCAAAATCATCATGAGTCTAATTACAAGGACATGCAGGTTCAGGACTCCATGGTGTTAATTTATTTGTTCTAAATTTGGAACAATCGATCTCAATGACTAGTGGTGTTTCTAAAATATCAGGTCTTAGGAGGTTAAAATACTGTTATAAAATACACTATATTTTGTACCTTGCGGTGGGACCTGGTGCTGCTGGTAATACTGCTGTCCTTGGGCCTGTTGGTAGGCCTGCTGTTGTTGGTAGGCCTGCTGTTGCTGGTGGGCCTGCTGTTGCTGGTAGGCCTGGTGAAGCCTGTGTTGAGCACCTGGGACGGGACGGCCGTGTGCATCCACCTGAAATACAAAAAAAAAATCTGTCGATGAAATTTTAAGTAATCTATATAAAAGAAAGTAGTGTTAGTTACTCCACTTATAACTCAAGAACGGCTGAACCGATTTAGCTGAAAATTGTCAGAGAGGTAGTTTAGAGCCAGGAGAAGGACATAGGATACTTTTTATCCCGTTCGAAATTAAAAAAAGTCTGCTTATTTATTGCCATTAAGGTGGAACAAAGTTCGCCGGGTCAGCTAGTTATATTTATTTAAGACGTACAAAACAGGTTACAGCCAAAATATGAATATCAGATACAGATTGATTTTATGTACTAGGTTGTTAACTTGTTACCATAGAGATCTAGAGAGATACCAACTAATTAATGCACTGATTTCGAAACCCAATGTCTCATTAGAAATTCACACACACAAAGTAATCAAAATAAAAACAAAACGTCGTAAAGAGTGTGTGTAATGCACACATTGCATTGAGTGCGGCTATTCGTTCGCATACCAGTTTGCAAGTAATGTAAGTACAGAACTGTGAGCACGGAAGCTCTGCCAGTCCTGGCTGGTGTACTGCCGGTCGACTTAGGGGTACAAAAGCGTGCGGCTATGTACTTCGCATCAAGGGAAAATATAACCTACGATTTCTTAAATAGCCGCGATTGTTCTAAAATAATCCGATTATTTGATTCCCGACAAGTCGTTGAAGAGGAATCACTGAATGGCAAAAAAGATGGGATACGTCAGTCAAAGGGCGTCACTTATACAAGTTCTGTCCGAATGTACGCGAACGTATATCTAGGCGATGGCTAAAAATCGTCCATTGCTCGTCGCAGTTCCTTACGAGGCATGGCAACTTTAAACATAAGCTTCACGAATTCAAACTAGTTCCGTCTCCTTTTTGTGAGTGTTCCACTGATGAAGTCAGTCATGAGCAGTCTGCCCATCATATTTTGTGGGAGTGTGATCTTTGGAAACATGAACGTGACATAATGCTTACAACATACATCTGTTTCTGCAATTTATTACACCGATCTTGTCGCGACAAGGATAAATTTCCGAGCTTTTAAGCACCCCCTTGCTATAGCTAAAGCAAGATGGTACAAACCATGGATTTTTCAATTACAATGCAACCAAAAATCATAATGTACAGGTAATTAAAAATTAATTAAGTTTTTAAGGCAATAAACTCACCAAGCCATGTTGTTGCATGTATCTCAGCTCTTCTAATCTCCTTCTTTCATATTCTGCATACTCATCTTGGGTGTAGATTTGGTTTTCATCAATCGATTTCCAGCCTGCAACAAACCACCACAGCTATAAAAATATATTGATTTATTTGTTAATATGCATTAGGGCCAGTTCTTCAGGTTGTTGGATATTGATGTCTATCTGGCAGATATCTCTATCCAAGTCTTGTTCCTAAGTTTTAGATAATTAGCAGACATAATAACGTTATCAAATAAACCATTTCACTATTTAACCTGACGGGAGACCTTAGAAGCCAGAATTTGTAGTACTAATTAATAATGATCTAATAGTTTATCACACATTTTATCTGTAAGTTTAAATTCGGCTAGTCCGGCTATCCGGTACGTATTTCATTAGCAAGCAAGTGGTTAAACAGATCTCCAAGCATTTGCCACAGCGGGCTACGGTCAGGTCAAAGTGAACGCGCCCGCTTCATGTATGAACAACATTGTTTGAACAAAATAAGACAGAAGGTAAACTCCATACTATAGTCCATTCAGCGTAAGATGGTGATTATGACAGTTCTATTTAGTGAGGCGCTCCTTATAAACCTAATCGATATTTTTTAGAATCGAGAATATTTTCTATAGAAATCTAATCGCCTTTTATTTGTTTCATTTTTAATCTTGATCAAAATTATATCTATGAATTTGAACTATCTGGAAATGGAATAAACGTGAACATTCTTAGTGGTACAAAATAAATCACAAAGAATTAAATATATGCATTTTATTCAATAAAACATCAAAATAACAATAACAAACAATACGGGGAGAAATCGCATAAAACAAAACCGTCATCAAAGGCAAACGCACACGTACTGACTTAGCTTTGACCTGCCTGAGATAATAATCGTGATTCGATGGTAAGATGACCACCATGCCGATTACTGATTTATTGCGATTGTTTATGTCCCATCCCTATGAGCAAAAGTTCCGACTAACGCAGAAGCAATTCATTTAATACTTTTTCACATTTTTTTCTAAATAATAAACTATTAAATAAATAGAAATTCTTGTTTAGGTTAATTGAGAAAGATTAATGATTGATATTTTGGAAGGATGAAAACACACAAAAGTAATTGATTTTTACAACTCAATAGTTTTATTCGTAGAAAGTTAGAATCATAAAACGAAACGTTTTATCTGTCTAAATCACCATCATAAGTTGAATGAACTATAAGCGCGCTCCAGCAACGCACACATAGACACCGCTCACGAACGCGTAACCGCTGAAAGCATCCAGTGTGCCAAATCTTTAAATATGTATATTATAGAGATATGTACCATCCTAACATCAGGTGCGATTGTGGTCAAATACCTGCCTTGTTATGCATAAAAAAAATATTATTATAAAGCTGAAGAATTTCTGAGGTAGGGTATATCGAGGAACACATCACCCTACAGCCAATAGGGTCGGAGCAGTAAAAAAAATGTTGCAAAAACGGGAAATATAATTCAAACTATTTTCACGCGTACGAAGCCGTTTCACTGGTTTTTGTAATAAAATTCATAGCTCACCTTCATCCTGGTTGAATTCAGGGTTATGAGTCTTGATCAGGAATTCGTTGAACTCTATCAATCCGTCGCGGTTCAGGTCGTTTTCTTTGAAGACGTGTTCGCGCATGCGCTCCATCTCTTCGGCTCTCTCGTGCAAATCCTTGTTGGGGCCGCCCGGTCCGTATAGCTTGTCCAACTCCTTGATGAAAAGGGCTTTTACTTCATCAGCGTCCCAGGCACCGTTACCGTCGACATCTAAAAATATAAAATAATAATTATGACTTGTTTTCACATTAGAGAGTATACACACGGAGTTTGGAGAGAGAGACGTTTGCAGAAAAAAAGCGCGCCGTTGACGCTCGCTCGGTTATTTCAAAATGCTGTGCATTAAGCCCTTAAGGAGGCATAATCATTTTGAATGTCGTAGAAAGATAACACAAAAAGATCGTTTGGAATATGATCGTGTGAATGCTTCAGATCGGGTAAGCCGTGTGTGCAACAAATCTGTTAGTGTACGCTACTTTCTAATCGACTTTCTGTACTGTGTCATCGTGAAAGAAATGTTTACTTTGGCAGAAACTGCAAACCTGTTAAAGAATGGAAATAAGAATATTAAAACTATTACACAGCACTAAAATACATATGACAGTGAAATACTCAATGATTTTTACTGAAACTGTCAATACATGTTTAACTGTGTAATTAATTATAGAAGTTAATGTGTTTCAATTTATTATAATTACTACTATTTTAAGTTTTTTATAAGCTTCGCTGGCAATTAAAAAGATAACGTGAGTACCGCTAGTAACGTATAAATGACATTTGATAAACTAAGTTGATTTTTTTATCGTGGTTTGTACTTTTGTTAAACTTTGGCGGCTCGTAACTAGCCATCCAATCATTATCTGGATCTGAATTTTATTTTATTTGACTAAAGACATATTAGATATTAATTTTAAATAAAAAAATGCGGTTGAAAACACACGAGAAAAGAAATTAAAGCAGATTTTTGGTCAAATTTTGGAAAAAAGAAAATAAACACAAAAATATCAATAAAAAAACTAGTTCACTTAGGGTCAAATGGGCGAACTTTTATTCTTAAAATGACCTTACCTATACACCCACGAAGTTTGTCTAACCTTCCGCCAAACACCCTGTATATTTTGATTTTTGATTACAAGCGTTAACTCAGTCATTCTCACATTCTCTGTTATTTCTTTAATGATCACTCGATGGTGTAAGTAAGTTACACACATTCATGTTTACACACAAATACATTAGGTACATGGAATTTTTACAGAGTGCTTTTTGCAACGGCAAACAAAACAATACTCACAATGTATGGCTACAAAGCGAATCACAATGGCATGCGTTAAGTAAAATCCATAACAGCGTGCGGTATGTTAAAAATATTAATGTTCAATGAGTATGCTAAATACAAAACTATCAATTGCACGCTACCGGATCTTACCATGCATTGTGAAAAAAACCTTTGGGTTGAAATCTTTTGCGTCCATATTGTCAGCGTTTTTCCATATCTCTAACAACTGACCTCTTGTGACCGGGTGTCGGAGCTGTCACAGATAACACAGTATTAATAAAGAATATAAACTACTCACCATGCATCATGAAGAATGCTTTGGGGTCAAATTTCTGATCCATATGGTCCTGTTTCTCCCAGACCTCCTCCAATTGTTGTTTGGAGCCGGGGTGATGAAGCTGAACATTTTAAATCGTATTGGTGCATATAACTAAATTTTTTCATTAACTAAATTAATGAACTCACTAAACTTCACTCTTCTCTAACGATTCATTTAGTAAACAGATTTCCTAATGATATCATTATGTATGTATCATATGATTCATATGCTATACTATAGAATGAAACTAGGAATCTCACAAAAAATACAAATTTTGTATTTAGGAACCTACTTTTTGAATGTATGTAGAAGAACAATCCCAACCCCAAGAACAATCTTATTGCAATAAAAGAAAAGTTAATGTGTTTTGTCGGTGAGAATAAGCTAAGACTTAACTTGTCGTCGCGACATGTCGCGGAGTCGCAACGACAGCTAATATTATGAAATGACGCGCGCATGCGTTTTGTGGCCGCGTCTGTCGCCGCGTTTTGTCGCTCAATGTGCGCTGACGCTAAGAAAAGTTGGCTTTTTCTTTAAAAATTCATGTAATGAGTTAATAAACAATTAGTGATAAAAGCTTTTGTCAAAGATTTGCTTAATAATAGGCGCGATGGAGTGCATGCAGTGCATTGAGAATTGACTGTCACACGTGAGCAGCTGGTATAGATCGTTTCATCCACGAAGACGCGCCCCATCACTTCCCGGTCGAGGGAAGCGCGGGGTGCGGGGAGCCTGATTCGACCAATCCGAGCGTCATCATTGTGTGCGCGCGCACTCACGGACAACAACATTGATAACAACGTCACACTCAGCATGATGACGTCACGCACTCTGACTCATATTGACGTTTTTTTTTTTTGTATGAAGCGTGACCTTGCTCTATGGCATACTAGCTAGCCTGTTTTTTCATCCAAACTTCGCAATCGGTGCGTAAGGGATAGGAAATACGACCCCGAAACATATCCCGCATGAAATACGACACCACAAGTGGGACTCAAGAGACCACCTGAGAAGCCCGAATCGGGCCGCGTGCCTGTAGCCATCTTTTTTGACGTGGCCGTTTGCCAGTTGAGAGGCCAATGAGGGCTATAGTTTTAGCGCTCACCAGTTAGCGCCACTGTAGAGTAAGGTCCTGTCACTTGCTAGTAGCGAAGACAGTGGCACCAACTGGTGAGCGCGAAAGTGGTAGGAGGACTATCGCAATTGCACTCATCAAGATGGCGCCACTGTAGAGTAAGGTCCTGTCAATCGCCAGGGGTGCCAACTGTTAAGTATAAAAACGATAGCTTAGCCCTCATTGCAACGCTGCCAATGCCAACAATGACGCTCGGATTGTTCGGATCAAACTCCCGGCACCCCACGCTTCCCCCGACCAAAAAGTGGTGGGGCGCGTCGTTGTGGATGAAACGATCTATGGTGATTGTGCCTAACTGTAAATACTTACAGGTTGGTGATGTTTCTTGGCTTCTTCCTCTTTTTTAATATTTTCCAAAAACTCTTTCTTTTGAGTATCATCCAAGGACTCCAGTTTCTGATGTTTTTCGAACTCTTTCTGCATCTCGTACTCCTGTAAATCATAGCAGTAAAAATGTTTTGTGTCACTGTTTTAATTGCTGTCAGATGTTTTAATCGGTGACTGATTTTTTACGCTGTGTTTAAACAACCAGATATGTTTGATGTTTTGATAAAGAAAATTCTCATTACAAAGCGGAGAAAGAAAAATTAAATTAAATATTAATATCAGGTCTTTGGCTTCACTCCCTACCTTCTCCTCATATTGGCACACTTTTGGATAATACCACTTTTAATTTAGCAGTCTCGCTCCGTTTGGGGGCACCATGCATTGTCCCCCATCGCTGTCCCTGCGGTGACATGGTTGACTCCCTTGGTCATCACGGACTGTCATGCAGCAGAAGTGCCGGGAGATTTTCCCGTCACGCCAGCCTCAATGACATCATACGCAGGTCTCTTTCTAGCGCTTCCGTACCGGCCATTCTTGAACCAAATGGCCTGGTTCGAAGTGATGGTAAGAGACCTGATGGTATGACTTTGGTTCCATGGAAGGTGGGACGGCCACTAGTGTGGGATGCAACCTGCGTAGACACACTGGCACCGTCTCATCTTCCGCAAACCTCGTCTGGGGCTGGTACTGCCGCTGCATCAGCGGAATCCCTCAAGCGACGCAAATATGTAGGTCTTAGTAGTACCTACATGTTTGAGCCATTTGGGGTCGAGACGCTAGGTCCGTGGGGACCAAGTGCTCATCGCCTGTACAGGGAATTAGCCAAGCGGCTGATTGACTGTACAGGTGATAGAAGAGCTGGCGCATTTCTTGGCCAACGAATCAGTTTGGCCAACGCTGATATTCTGCGAGCACCGTTTATAGAGAGGGCGTACAGCCAGCCTTACAAAATACAACAAAAAGACAAACTTTATAAAATTACAAAATAAAAACAGACTAAAAACTTTTCGTTCACATCTTTAAAATACGTATTCAATTTGCATAAAATTTCTTTCACTTGGCTGCTTAATGGATTTCGTACAGGAAATTCACTTACAGTAGGAGCCATTTCACTAATATTTGGAACACAATTACATAAAATTACACGTATCTGCTACCAGTACCGGGGGTGAAGTGAAGTATGAAGCGGTGCGTGGCGGACGCGCCGCGCTTCAGGCCGCTTGCTATAAATAAACCGGTTTAAACCATGCGCGGGACGCGCGCCGCGCTTCAAGCCGATTGACACTCTACACTATCGGTGTGCACTCACACAAATGCAATTCTCAGCTTAAGTTGAGAGGACTGTAGTACTTATTATTATTCTGTGGTAGTACCTACATGTTTGAGCCATTTGGGGTCGAGACGCTAGGTCTGTGGGGACCAAGTGCTCATCGCCTGTACAGGGAATTAGCCAAGCGGCTAATTGACTGTACAGGTGATAGAAGAGCTGGCGCATTTCTTGGCCAACGAATCAGTTTGGCCATTCAGCGCGGAAATGCAGCCAGCATTTGAAGTACTATTAGGTTTTAATTTGATGATCGAAAAAAAGTCTTGTGTGCGAAGCTGAGAGGGCTGTTCGTAGTTCGTACATATAACATCTTGATTACATAACAATATTCAAGCGACACTAGTGGGCGATTAATAAGATGTTAGAAAACAAAAGAAGAGCGCGTTGCACCAAACAAATTCTTCAGCTTTATAATATTAGTAGGTATAATAGATAAAATATATGAACTACCTTAAATTCCTTTTCCCTTCGTTTATCAGCAGCTTGCAAGTCCTCAGTTGTTTTTTTAATCAAACGTTTCAAATCTTCTATCTCAAAAGTGTGTGGGTTTCCGTGGTCAAGATGCTCGTTCGATGGGACTTTACCCATATGTGTATCAAGGTCGTTAGTTAATTCATATTGCTAAAATATTTGAAATAAACAAATAAATTCCGCTTCAAAGCATTATCAAACGTATTTACAGCTAACATGACGTAGAACAATTAATGAACTAGTTCATCGATGGAAATGATCATGGCGTTTTTACATTTCAATATTGATATAAAAATTTTAGCTGTCGCATTTCATTATTTTATGATTACACACGTTGAAGTATATTGTAGCTTACAAAATAATACCTTAGTAGCAAGATGCCGAAGTCGCTCCAATTCACGACGCTTGATTTCATCTAGTTTCGTCCGAACATTATGATTTACAAAATCTAATTGTTCTGCAATTTTGCCAGACTGCAAAGACCAGAAAACAAAAACTTAGTTTAATCACAGTCATTTGATAAAAAAAATCTGAATTACTATTTGAATTCATACCCGAACGTCATCTTCTTCAGCCTTTTCTAGGCGTTCCCTAAAATCGGGATCACTCTCTAGTGCCTGGACCACTTCTTGCAAATAGCGATGGTATTCCATGTATTCTTCCTGTAAAACAAACATAATATAGGACATAATCATAAAATAAAAGTAGCAAAACATGTCGTAAATATTGCATTCGCTCAAACGTACACAATTAAAAAAATATATTTTGTTGATTACACTCGCTGAGCAACATTTGTTTCTTAATAAATATCGTAACTAAACTGAAGAGGAAATTAAAATAATACTTACAAGGTCATCTTTGATCTCACTTTCTTTATGCTCTGGAGTCACAGGTGGAGCATAAGAGCAGTGAAGTATCACCACAAGGCACAGAAAACTCGGTAGGAGCCACATGATATCTGGAATTAAATTATTTATACAATTTTATACCAATTCTTAGGGGGCGTCCATAAATTACGTGAGACAATTTTGGCCATTTTTCAACCCCCCCGCCCCCCTTCGTGAGATTTGGTGAGATTTTGCCTGACCCCCTCCCCCACCCCCCTAATCTCACGTGATATTTAATAAAATGCCTATTTTGCAATGTCTATGCTTCGAGTCTATTAGATTTATATGAAAAAATCAGAGGGGGCGTCCATAAATTACGTGAGACAATTTTGGCCATTTTTCAACCCCCCCGCCCCCCTTGGTGAGATTTGGTGAGATTTTGCCTGACCCCCTCCCCCACCCCCCTAATCTCACGTGATATTTAATAAAATGCCTATTTTGCAATGTCTATGCTTCGAGTCTATTAGATTTATATGAAAAAATCAGTAATCCAGTGTCGTGCCACGCGCAGTGCAGGGTTCCGTAGCTTCCCGTCGCTTAGTAAGACAAGCAATTGCTTCAACCTAGGACCAGTTTTTTGATTCATAGTTAAAATAACTAATTGTTAAATATTAATAAAATGTAAACTAATAGTTAAAAAATACTGTAAAAAGTCAAGTTAAGAGTAGGCGCACACCGTTGATTTTTCGTCGGCCGATAGTTTAGTCGGGCAGTTGATCAGTTTTGGCATGTATGGGAGTGCGCACACTACGCCGATTCGATTTGGCCGACTCTTCATACAATTTAAAATCGGGCACAACTATCGGCCAACTAAAAATCAACGGTGTGCGCCTACTCTAAACATTGTTATAAAAACATTTTTTTCTGTTATTTAACCACTTGTCATTTGACATCTGTCAAATTTGACTATTGGTTACTTTAACTACGAATACATAATATTTTCATACGTATGTTATGCCATTTTTTAGGGTTCCGTAGTCCTGACAAGGAACCCTTATAGTTTCGATACGTATGTCTGTCTGTCCGAGGTTTCGCTTGGAAACTATTGGCACTGGGCAGCTGTAATTTTGTGAAGGTATGTATATTTTTTATAGTTACTTTAGTGAAGCCTCAATGTAACCTTGTTGGTGTTCAAATAAATAAATAAATATTAATCACGCCGACAAAACAAAATAAAATTTTGAAAAAAAAAACATTTTTTTCTAGGGTAGGGCTCCCCTGCATGTAAAGTGGGGATGAATTTTTTCAAGGAAAACTATAACGGTTAAGTTACATTACTTAGTTTAAGAGTAATAGTCATTTGACTCATGTATTATACAATTTCTTGACCAGTAAAAATTCCTTAGAAGAAAATATGAAAAGTGACTTTAGATGAAGTAATTGCTTGCTGCTGAAATATATTGTGGGTACGACACGCACTTGGCCAATTTTTTACGCAATAGCGATGCCGATGACTTTTTTTTTAATTTCGAATTTTCTTAATTTCGACATTTATTCTGCATCTTTAGTGTTCACAAATGCAGATGGAGGCATTTTTAGTTTAATTTGATTAGACGGTTTAGAATAAATTGTCATTATAATCATAAAAAAAAATTTTTTTACTTCAATAACCCAGTTTTCTGGCAATTTTACTCTATTTTTTGCGGGAAAAATTACGTGATATTTTCCGAGACCCCCCCTCTCCCCCACGTGAGATTTAGTGAGGTTTTCGTTGACCCCCTCCCCCCCCTAAAAGTCTCACGTAATTTATGGACGCCCCCTTACAGCAAACTTAATTCTAATTAGATAAAATATCGCAAATTGGGATTATAAGAAAAAATATCAAAATAATATGTATTAACTAATAAAAGTTTATTACCTAAGTATTTAATGTATGAGCTTTACGACCTAGATTATTACTGAACATAAACAAAGGATCATAAATAACTTGTTGAAAAGTAATTAACCTTATTATTAAATAACTAATGGTTAACCCATTTAAAGTCTACATGTAATAAAATATGTTTTTTCAATCATGGAAAAATATTTCATACAAATACCTAAATAAACCAATGTCTATTTGTATTTTAACCGACTTCAACAAAAGGAGAAGGTTCTCAATTCGGTTGGTTTTTTTTCTATTATTTATTTAATTACAACAATTATTATGAGTTGGTGCCTGTAAATTTAGTACGTTTCTTGAGACAGACTGGCACAAACTCCGAGAATATCAATCATGGTCATAATAATTAATAAGAGTCACTCAGGCATATAATTTCTGGTTGTTCGCATCTTGCTAACGGTGAGTACTAGGGCACTATTTAAGTGGTGAGCCTCGACAACATAACGTGTTGTTAGACGACGTCTGATACTTTTAATGAAAAGTTTGACATTTTTGACTACAACCTTATTCGAAANCGATCATTGTCCCGATAGTTGTCTCGGCAAACGGACTAATAGCGAAGAGCTTCGACCAACATCTAAAGAAGCTCTCGCTAGATGGTTGGCTCAAGGGTCAGATTCAAAAGGCGGTGATCCTCAGCACGGCACGCATTGTCCGGAGGTTCCTCAGCCTGTGACCCTGACCACCGGTAGCTTGGGCCCTGCTCCGCTGCCAGCGGGTTAACTATTTTTAAGATTTTTGTTTTTATAATGTATTTTTATTTTTTGATAATTGCATTGTAAAAAGAAAAAATTAAAAATAAGAAAGAAATTTGAATAAAGAAATAATAATAATAAATAATAAATCTTTCGACAATTTCACACAGCGCCAGCTAGCCCCAAAGTAAGCAACTTAATGCTTGTGTTATGGGTGCTAGCTTAACGGATATACTACTTATATGTATACTTTTTTTTTAAATATATACATATTATACATAGTTACACCCAGACCCGTCACAGAAATTAAAATTCATCATTTCAATTTCTGCCCGGCCGGGAATCGAACCCGGGACCTCTCGGCATAGTAGTCCGTTCTGAACCACTACACCAAACGGCCGACAATTGTCCTAATTAAATAAATAATAAAAAGCTTTTATTTCCACAAGTTTACAATTTTAAATATTAAGTTAGAAGCATTTGTCTTCACTCTTGTGGCACCCCTGTATGGGCAAAAGCCTCCTCCATTCCGCTCCATTTCTTCCTGTCCTGGGCTAGGTCGAGCCAATTTTCTCCCGCTACTCTCATTATATCATCAGCCCACCTTTCTTTGGGTCTCCCAACATTCCTCTTCCCCTTCGGTCCCTTCCATTCTGTTGATGTTATAATAGTCCATCTTCTATCTTTGTACCTTGCTAGGTGTCCAGCCCACTGCCATTTTAGTTTTAAAGCTTTTTGGAGGGCATCTGTTAGTTTTGTTTGTTGTCTAATTTTGTTGTTTCTGATTTTTTGAATTTTTCTTATTTTCAGAATGCTCCTCTCCATCGCATGTTGACATGATTCTATTTTTGCTCTATTTTTGGTCTGGTACCATGCTTATTATATGGGAGCCAATTAAATAAATAAAGTAAAATGATTTTTCTACTTTTTAGTGTAGGTACTTTTTTGGAGTCTGTTTAATTTTTAAACTCGGTTTTTTTAATCATTTAGATATTTTAATTTAAGAAAAGAAAATACAGCATTCCCATGCAACTGGGGAACAAAATTATAATTTATTATGATAACGTACTAAACTGTAGACTTTATCTAACTACTTAGGTAGATAAAACTGTTAAATCACAAGAAATTACACAACTAAGATATATTTCTTGCACACAAATGAAACAAAAAGATAAAGAATTATACATACAAGACAGTCATGTATGATTCGACATAAAAAACATGTTGGACGTTTGGTTTACGAAAGGGTGATACACTAGTACAAATTACAGAGCAGCTTGTTGTTTCGTTATAAGTAAATGCTCTAGTCTGTACTCACCATAATAAGCTTACAGAAAAACCAAAGGTGTTATGTCATGTTTACTCACATTTATTTCAATATACATTTTGATTAATCGGCAATGTCTTGTAATTTGTGAGCCAGGCATTCAAATCATAATAACTTTATAATGTATGTAGTACAAGATATTAAAATGTATTACAGCTTGTCACATTGAGTTGCCCATGCATTTTAATAAGATTTTTCAAAATGTACTTTAAATTCATACATATTTATGGTCATTATAGAATTAACAGCTTCTTTCAAGTAGCTAATATTGAAGTAGTACTGGTGATAATTTTCAGCAAGAGAAATGTGTTCTTATATGAGTCATGTTGATGATATCGACCTGAACTACCTGGTTTTAGTCAAACACACAGCTAATCCATACTCTTTCTTTACCTAAAAAAAGACTACAATCTAAAAATGAACATGCAAAGAAATAGCGAAAACCTGTTCCAACATTGTTTACGAACATAATGTCCATAAAACTATGCAGGCTTTATTAATCTATGTATGCAGGTACTAACCTGCAACTCTTTAGATAAAGGTACATAAATAGATATCTGTATTGATTGGCATTTCATACGGAAATCAATTCGCGTTATTCGCAAAATACATACACGGTGCACAGCTGCTTGCTGCTTGTTATTCATTTGGATAAACAATACATTAATACAGAATTCATTAATTCATTCATTTTTATGTTTCCCCTACATAGGTACAAAAATAATTTCCACTTACCAAAAAAACCGTGACACCTATAAGAAAAATTGCAAAATGTATTTCAATCACAAAGTAGGGGTTATCAGTGCAATAATTTTATTTACTACTGTACATTACTCACTTTTACAAATCAATGCAAAGGCAAACGAGAAAATGACATGATTTCATTTCATTGATTGAGGACTTGACTGACGTGTATAAAAATAGATAAAAATTAAAATGTACTCTGTGGACTGACTGGGACTGACACATCATCGACGTCCCCCATCTCCGCAACCCACCAATAATAATTAATTTAAACAACCCTTTGACCAATGACAAACATTTTAGCTTTATTTTCCATGTCTCCTATTGGTTACTTGACTTCCTGACAAGTTCGTTAAAAGCTGGAGCTACATCTAGTAGTTGTGTTGTGTTCCATGCCCAAGTGCAACAGACGGTGTCACCTTCATTTTCAAAATAATATTATAAAATATATTTATCATTTTATGTTTCCATTGCCGTTCCGTTCCGGACCATACTCTCTAATCTGTGTTCCGGACTCATGCACAAATCACAAATGGTTCCGTACCATTGATTTATGTTTTTTTTTTTAATTTAAGTTATTTGTATGAAGATTACGCTGTAATAGGCTGTTTACGATTTACGAGATATTAAAAAAAAACTCTCGAGCGAGATCAAGCGAGAAGCTCAAGACCGAACGAGATGGAGGACTGTTGTGGACGCCCTCTCATCTAGAGGACATAGGACCATAAGTCAAGTAAGTAAAAAAAACTACTAACTAGATCTCGTTCAAAACAATTTTCGTTGGTAGTTTTTATAGTAATGTACCTACATCATAATATGTTTTTTTAGATTTTTCATTTTCTTATTTTAGAAGTTAGAGGGGGGGGGGGGCAACTTTTTTCCACTTTGGAAGCGTCTGTCACGCAAACTATTCGGTTTAGAAAAAAATATTTTAGAAACCTCGATATCATTTTTGAAGACCTATCCATAGATACGTCACACATATGTGTTTGATGAAAAAAAAAAGTTTTTTGAGTTTCAGTTCTAAGTATGGGGAGCCCCCAATATTTATTATTATTTTTTATTTTTGCATCAAAATCTTAATGCGGTTTACAGAATACATCTACCTACCAAGTTTCAACAGTATAGCTCTTATCGTTACGGAAAAAAATGGCTGTGACATACGGACGGACAGACGGACAGACAGACAGACATGAGGAATCTATAAGGGTTCCGTTTTTAGGGTTCCGTAGCCAAATGGCAAAAAACGGAACCGTCTATCTGTCTGTCCGTCCGTATGTCACAGACACTTTTTTCCAAAACTATAAGAGCTATACTGTTAAAACTTGGTGATTAATGTATTTTTTGTAAACCGCATTAAGATTTTCATACAAAAATAGAAAAAAAAGCAATAAATTTTGGAGGTCCCCATACTGAAAACTAAAAAAAAAATTTTTTTCATCAAACCCATACGTGTGGGCTATTTCTGAATGATATTGAGGTGTCTCATATTCTTTTTCTTATACTAAGTGTGAGATACTTCCAAAACGGTAAAATGTGTAACCATGGTGTGTGTTTTTTTTATTAAATTCCTCATGATCACGTACCTAGAGGTATTGAAATTCCAAATACTTAGGGCCCTGATTACGCTAAAAATTTTCATCTTCAACGTGCCCGGAAGTCAGCTGTTTTGACAAATCCGTATCGCAGAATCGAAGAAATCGAAGAAGCGCGTCTGTATTGGAGATGTTAAAAATTAGCGTAATCGGGGCACAACAGAGCCCCGATTACGGTAATTTTTAACGTCTCCAATCCAGACATGCTTCTCGATTCTGCGATACGATTGGTCGTTCAACAGCGTACGTCAGCTGTTTTGACCAATCGTATCGCAGAATCAGAAACGCGTCTGGATTGTAGACGTTAAAAATTACCGTAATCGGGGCTCTGTCTATAGTACCTTAATTCACTTAACACATCACTCCCTATGAAAGTAGCACCCACGTAGCACGTTAACTAATCTGTGCTGTCAATTCTGTCATTACTGTCAGTAGTAATAAATGATGGAGGATTTCATGGTGGTGTCAAATTTAATAATTTTGTAAGATCCATCTTTAGCGGTCAAAGCATTTCTCTTTTTCTCTGACTGCAGGCTCTATAACGTGTACTCTCATAAATCTTTTAAGTAATAAATCCATTCGTCTCACCTCAGAGGTTCGTGGTCGTAGACTATAAAAAGTGTAATACAATACATCTCTTACTTACCAAATTGTATCGACTGTAGGCGGAACTCTACTAGTAAGAGGTATTCATCTTCGGAATCGTTTGAGGACACGTTACCGGTTTCAACGTTCCACCTCAGGAAAATTAAAGAAAACGTCAGGTAATCTACTTCTAACTAGTGCCTTTTATTAATGAATTGAAACGCTTCATAATTTTGCAGGTCTATTTACAATAATTAGTTTTTGAATAAGCTCTCGGCCCATTAATAAATAAGCCAAATGATTAAAATATTAAGTCTGCCACTTTAGCAGTAAATGGCAATAAAGCAAAGCACATACCTAATTATAGAATTTTATCAACATAGTTTTTAATTTTAATGTAAACATATTTATTATTTAAATAATGAAAAATGCCTCGGTATGCAGATTAATCAATATTGCTACCAAGCTAAATCTAAACATGATTTTGTAAAAGTGAACATATTATTTCATGCTTTTGCTATACCTACATCAACTGTAATTGGTAAGTCATTATGACCCTGATTTTAATTTTTTTTTTTTTCCACTATCTTAGGTTCCCCGGAGCTCAAATGGATTTCAAAATGCATGAATATACTCACGCCATTGTTGGAAAAGTGACTCCAGCGTTACGTTTGACGGACAAAGCTGATTTAAATGATGCCCGCCGGCAATTTGACTGCTACCTAAGATTACTTAAGGAATTAAATGTGGAAGTATTAGAATTGGATATTGGTAGCTCTTTTCCTGACAACATTTTTTTGGAAGACGTTGCGATTGTATGCCATGGTATAGCATTGCTGCCAAAAGCTTCATCTACAGAGGAGGAAATAAAGGTTATTAGTTTTTAACAGGTTCTCTATCTATAATTATGTAAAATGTGTCATTTCATGTAGTACATTCCTTAACACAATTCACTCTGACCTCTTAAAATCATCTGAGGTCCTTAATTGTAATTTGTTAATAAGCGACCTAGTCTTTATTAATATGACCTTATTAGCTCATAGCGAATTCGATGTCTTGATCTGTCTGTGTTTCTTATTTGTGTTTATTTCTTGATACAATGCTTGTGATGTCTTCAACGTTTATTCTTATGGTTTTAAGGCCTGAAAGCAATAGATATGCACAATTTAGACTGAACTACTGATCTTTGATGGAGTCAGATGATTATTTGTAGTCTTTTTAAAGGGCTAAGCTTGATTGACGGACTATATTTATAGATAAAGATTGATTCTCTTTCATCACTATTTGCTGCTATTGCTCTGCTGAATAATTTTATTGTATCTTTCAATATGATATTGTAAATTGTTGTATTCATAATTTATTCTTGAATATGTTGCAAGCATTGCGAAAGTAATTATTGTATTTTCATTATCATTTTGAACTCTTATGCTGTGCCACATAGCATAGGTTATGTTGGTTGCTTTTTAACGGACCAATTTTCTTATTGTTTTAGATGAAAGCTATCAAGGAGGTTTTATCCAAAGAACTTGGCCAGACTGTTATCGAAGTAAATGATCCTGATGCTAAATTAGTTGGCTCTGATGTGCTTTTCACAGGTAAGAGAATATTAATTTAATTATTTTTAATAAGATCTTCTGGTTTAACATATTATTATCTAGACTACTGCAATAAATTATTCTTACTAAAAATATAAAGTTCCAGTTACTTTAGAAAGCTAATTTTTAACAATAATGTATACAAGACGTAGGAATGTATGTACAATGTATCTACATTAAAAATTCAAAGGTTGTTAAGATGTTAAAATTACTTTATTTTTTACTGGCGGCCGGCCGCGACTTTGTACGCGTGGATCCCGTTTTACCCCCTTAGAGGTAGAGTTTCGTAAAATCCTTTCTTAGCGGATGCCTACGTCATAACATTTACCTGCATGCCAAATTTTAGCCTGATCCATCCAGCGGTTGGGGCTGTCCATGATAGATCACTATGTCAGTCAGTCACCTTTGAGTTATACATACAGTCGTGGTCAACTAATTAGGGACGTTATATGACTAAAACACAAGACCGTCTCTCCAGTCCGAAAAAAAAATCTTCACGAGGCTTTGTAGCTTATGCCTATTAATAACAAGTAATTTGGCTAGTATTCTAAATATTTAAAGGCCAGAAAAGAAACTAGCTAGATGCGATCAATATTTTTAAAATAAATAAATCATTGCCACCTACACATTTATTGACCTAGGGATGGACAACTAATTAGGGACACGTAACACTTTCACTGTAAATGTAAATCCCACCAAAAACATTCTGTNATATGATATCAAAACGTTCAAAAGTTTGGCTGTACACGAGCACGTACACAAGATGTTGTTCTCTTTTATGAAATTTGTTAGTACTAAGGTTGAATTATTAAATAATCACTGTTAAATGTGATTAATTTATCACTTTTACCGCGACTGTCGGTAATTATTCATAATAACCGGTTATTATTAATAATTTTCAATTTATCACATTAACCGTAACATATATTTATTTAATAATATTTTAATCATGTGATTTTTTTATTTCAGGCCAGGAGTTCTTTGTTGGAATCTGTGAAACCAGCAACGAAGCAGGTGCCAGTGCTGTAGCTGAAGCATTTCCAGAGTTTCCATGCACTCCTATTAAGGTAATTGGTTTTGTCTAACACCCATATTCAGTAATATTCACAAACGATGTTTGCTTCAGTGAATCAGCAAATCGAACGCACAGCGTTTAATAGAGCTCTGTGATTGGTTCGTGAGTGACTCTGTGCGTCCACGTGCACTGGGAGACCTCATAGAAATGTTTGAATTCGGGCGTTAGGCCCCTTTCTGATTTGTCGGCGCGACAACGGCACAACATCAGCACGCTCGGCATACGCGGTACCGAAAGCTTACCGAACGTTTATTTTTCAATGTCAACATTTTTTTTTTTTATCCACAACGAGGAAGCTCTTATTTTATCATTACATAGTATAAAAACAAAGCGGCTTTTTTATTAGGGTTCCGTAGCCAAATGGCAAAAAGCGGAACCCTTATAGATTCGTCATGTCTGTCTGTCTGTTTGTCCGTCCGTCCGTCCGTCTGTCCGTCCGTATGTCACAGCCATTTTTTTCCGAAACTACATACAGGGTGTCCCGTAATGTAACGTCAAGCNCACCCTGTATAAGAGCTATACTGTTGAAACTTGGTAAGTGGATGTATTCTGTGAACCGCATTAAGATTTTGATGCAAAAATAAAAAAATAATAATAAATATTGGGGGCCCCCCACTTAGAACTGAAACTCAAAAAATTTTTTTTCGTCAAACACATAACTACGTGTGGGGTATCTATGGATAGGTCTTCAAAAATGGTATCTAGGTTTCTAAAATACTTTTTTTCTAAACCGAATAGTTTGCGTGACAGATGCTTCCAAAGTGGAAAAAAGTTGGTACCCATACATTTTGACGTCGATAAAAGTTATCACTCCGCGCATCTTAGGCCTACTGATCCTGGAGGCGAATCGACATTGTGACATTTTTATGCAAGCCTTTCAGCACTTCGATGCATCGATATTCAATTTGTCATGTGTCATCAATGCCCATGTCTCGACTGAATTTAAGGCTTTCTCATATACATAGTCTTGAAAATATAAGTGAAACTAATAATAATTATTATTGTGAAAGAATCATGAAAATATCTCTACAAATACAAAAGTTACAGGGCCCTAAAGTTGCGCATAACAAATATTCGCGCCATTTTGATCGGTGTAGTCACGACAGTCATTCGGATTACAGACAGGATTCTTTCTTAGTAAAATTATGTAACCTTTTTGACATATCCAAGACCTGACCATATACAGGGTGTTGATTTCAATACTCGCCATATTTAGGGAGTCGATTAAGTAGCTTATTCTGATCACGAATCATTTAAAAAAATTCTTAACTTCGAAAAAAATTTAAAACGAACTTTAACTTTAGTTAGTTAAATAAAATACCTATTTACACTACCTACTTTACGTGGCTTCCTTCAGTAGGTTATCCGATACGATAAGCAAGCGATCCGCGTAGCTCGATGATGATGCCGCAGTGTAAACTATTGCAGTTTTGCGAGCCATACAGTTGATTTCGCACGGAAAATATTCGCTATAAATTCCACTTTCGTTTGTATTTTTTTTGAGGATAATGCGTTTATATAAGTCATAATAGATCACCTAAATACCTAAATATGGCGAGGATTGAAATCAACCACACCCTATATAAAAAGAAAAAGAAGAGTTTGACATTATAGTGTCATTCTCGACAATGCGTTAGGGGTGGTAAGCATTGTGATTGAAACATGAACAGGTGGCCTGACGTCACGGCACAGCCTATGTTTAAGTTCGGCTACTTCAGTGATTCGTCCCACAATACGTTCGTCCCACTGGGACGAAACACTGAATTCAAAAAAATAAATATTTTTCGTTCTGGATTCGTACCATTTAATTTATTCTTTAAAATGAAAATGAAAATGTTTTATTTGATAAATAAAGTGGTTTAACAAGATATTTTGGTAACCATCCTTTTAAGTATAAGAATACCTGTAGTAGGAGGTTACCGCTCTTCCAAAAGTATTAACATAACATAATGAGATTTAGTACCGTCAGAAGCGTTTGTTAGTCGTATAAATCGAAATCAAAAAATCCTTGTAGCTTTTCACCTATTCGCATTTCGCCGCGATATCAAAATTTCTGAATAGATTTTTATTCTTATAGTATAATTTTTGATCGCTAATTACAATTGTCTAAAAAATTCATAGTAGATTTACTTTCCTGCCTGTCTTCACTGTAAATAGGCTAGGTATTGATAATACATGCTACATCAAAATTTGCTACTGTTGTAAAAATGTGTTAAAAATATATGCTAGTAACAAAAATACTAGCGATATTACACGCTACAACAAAACACGCTATCCGGTGAAATGCGAATAGGTGAAAAGCTACAAGGATTTTTTGATTTCGAGGTGTACGACTAACAATCGGTCAGAAAGTCAATGAAATAAAAGAAAACATGAATTTGTTAACAATATCTGTATTTAAAAGAAAATCAGTAAAAATGTTTAATAAATTAAATTTCAGACATTGTTAACATTCATGTTTTCTTTATTTCATTGACTTTCTCAAATCTGAATCTCATTATGTTAAAGAATAAATCAGATGGGACGAATCCAGAACGAAATATATATTTTTTTTTGAATTCAGTGTTTCGTCCCAGTGGGACGAACCTGTTGTGGGACGATGGATTTCAAAAATAACTTCACCGGATTTTTAGTTTTGGTCTATATTTTAATCCCATTCAGTGAAATCTAATGTTTTCAACATCACGAAACTTCTCCATTAAGACGAATCTAAAATAGTAAGACACGGGTCTTAGCGTGACGTTTATTAATGAGTTACATTATGTACTCACGGCTTGACGTTTCGGCTACGATGCCGTGTCTTACTATTTTAGCTGAAATGGAACGCGAAAGTTTAAAATCTTATAATACGAATCTAACGACACCTGTCACGCTAAAATCGGTCAAGTAGGCCGTGCCAAAGAAATATACATACATACAAATACTCGAAAAACATAACCCTCCTTCTGGCGCAGTCGGGTAATAATGATTTAATTACATATTTCCAGATGGCAAAAGGGACGCGCAGTTTGAAAAAGTATATTACTGTGGCCGGCCCAGAAATTCTCTGCGTTGGCGCAAGTAAAGAAGCTAAAGAGATCCTTAAGAGAATGGAAAGGGAAGCTACATTCTCTTATCAAACCTTGACCGTTCCTGAGGACGAAGCAGCCAACTGTCTCTATATAAACGGAACTTTAATTCACAGGGCAATAGAAGAGATTCCCGATTCATTTAAGGTAACTATAATTCGACTTACTTGTTTAATCTTTCGTTCGTTTCAGCCAAAGGACGTCCACTGCTGGAAAATGTCTTATATCAGTCACACGGGCATGATACGCATTCTACTGTACGAGCTTATGACTGTGTGGGTGTATTAGGTTATTAGAAAGCATTTGTTTCATACATTTTGTCGCGATTGACCAAAAAAAATTATTTAAGTATGTTTAGTAGATACGTTGTCTAGTACCTACCCATAGTACAAGCTTTGCTTAGTTTGGGACTAGAGGCGCAATGTAAAATGTCCAAGGATATTTATTTTAATTTCTTAGCTCAAGGACCACTTTCGCGCAGTGCCTTTTGTAATATTAGCAACAAGAATCAAAGAAATCAAATTTATGTAAGATTTTAATCATTACAGGTGTTTTGCGAGAAGATTGATTTTGCTCGAAGATCGATTTGTTTCTCTGAGTTGGCCAAGATCTCCACTGGACTGAGTGCATGCTGTTTGTTGGTAAGGAAGACTTAAACAACAAACTGAAGTATTAAATCTACAGTTTTAGTTGTTGATTATTCTAAATGGCAGAGGTAACAGCCGATGTGTTCAAAAACAATACCATTGCTTATTGTTAAATAATAAATAAATATGCTTATAAAATGTATTAAATGAGATCTTTTTTAAAAGTATTTTATCTCGAAAATAATTAAAAGCGTTCAAAACTAACTTAAATAACAAAACATGACCTCAATATCTACAATATTATTTGTAAGTTGTCATAAATGCTTAATTGAAAACTTTACTCTTTATAGATTCTATTAATGTTATTTCTATTTGTCTCTTATTTTCAAGCAAGATGGAATGCTATTGCTACTTTTTGCAAAGGACATTATTATCATAGGGTCATCTTTAAAATATGCACAGCCAATTAAGCCGCTGAGTGTCACACAATATGAACAATTTAGGTTATTAATAATATGTTAAAAAGACTATTTAAGTATTACAAAGGTTAATTTTTGAATGCAAAATGTATAAATGCTTTATACATGGACAGACATGGCATGGGGTTTTTACTAAAAAAATATATAAAAACCCTTGTTATAAAATACAAAGGACAATAAATAACACCGGCAGACACGCACATTATGGAAGTATGCTACCTGTGAAACAATAAAATTAATTTATTTAACTTATTGTAATTATATTTTATTATAATTAAAAAATATGGAATCACTAATCGTACAAAAGCAGCAGGACGAGCTAGTCTTTTTAAATATTATTTATGAAAAGTATAAACATAATTTATTATTATTATACAGTAGCTTTAAATTATATGTATAATCAAGTATGAAAAACTTATAAAATAACCCGATGTAGTTTTTAAAATTGTACCTGCGTACCTTCCTTCACTGTACTTTGCAATATCGTTTTCGATTTCTGCAAAAGGTACCTGTAGTAAAAATGTGTATATGTTTATAATATGATAAAATATTTGAGGTTGTAATACTCTATAATAACTATTCTGTAAGTTGCTATTGATATTGTATTTATACCTTTCTATGTTTGGTAATATAAGTATTTCAGGGTAAGAAAAATACTGTAAAAACACGAGCACGGGTCACTTCTGTTAATACCTTGACAGTATGTATCTCCATAGATAAGAATAAATACTTTGTTGTCTCTCTTTTTCTCTTTACATAAAGTGTAAAAGAGAAAGATATACTGTCACGGTGACAAGAAGTGACCTACTCAGCCTAATGATGCATTCCCCAATTATATTATTCCACCAGTATACACGCATTCCAATTTTCTCTAACTATTTGATCTTTTAACAATGTCTTATTGACTCTTATTGACAAACAATTAAATTATACTTTTTATTATCAGGAAAATACCAGGCCAAAATATTTCTGAAACTAAAAATACGGGTGATTGCCGTTATATTGGACTAAGCAATATTAAATAACTCTCTGTAAAGTGACATCATTATTAATTTTCAATTTTATTCAGCCTTTGAATGAAATGATACTAGTTAAAAAACCCTTTGTCCTCTCTTGCGGCAGAACATTGCAGTAATACATACTTAACCTACAAATTATTATTTTAGTCACGATATACTTAAATAAAGTATGCGTTAGATGAAAAATTTGGAGAGCGGAGTTATCATGTTATCATTGCCTCAATAAAATACCGCTCCGTGAGTTTATTTTTTTTTCTCGCAGTCAGCAATTTCATTTAATATTTAAAGAGTGACGTCTTATTTATAAGAGCACTAGCTATTGCCCGCGGTTTCTCCCGCGTGAAATTCAGTTTGCCACAGATCGTTTTAAGTTATAATACGTTATTATAATGTATTCTACTAATAGTTTAAACGCAAAAGTTTACGCCCCCAAATAATTTTCCATTGTTCTGTTTAAGAGGCGAGGATAATTTTGATTTTTAACTAACAGGCCAACATAATCTTCTTTATCAACAAGATTGTTATCAAAATCCATTTTGTCGTTTATGCGTGAAATAGTAACAAAAAATACATAGGTACATTACAATCGTACAAACTTACTCGTTCATAATAATAATAGTAGGAAATAAAATATCTCAGACTGATACTTCAGAGCGAGAGCTAATTATTTTTATTTAGCTTTTTGGCTAATATTATTATTAATGTCAAACACATAATCTCAACAATGTTGTTAAGTAAACTAAGTTTACAAAGTTAATAAGTGGTTAAACCTAAGGTTTCGTAAGTAATAATAATGAAATGTAAACTAAACGCTTAAAAAGTACTTTTTTGTAGATCGTATTATTATTCGCACTGTGTAGTTGTTTATTTAATGAGCATTCCTTGAAAATGTATGTAATCGTGTATTATTAGTATTTAAACTACTTATTGTATTGCTGTTGCGTGTATTATTCGATTAATAATAATAATACCTATAAAGTGATGTCTTGTAATCATTGTGTAGTGACGAGTTTGTAAATCTCTCTACGTTTTCTAGATACAGTTACCTTTATTTAATTATTACTCACAAAAAATATTACTAAAAAATGTAGGTTATCTTAATTTTGTAACGAGTGAACAACATCCTTGTAAGTGATTGTGAGCTTAGTGAAGGATTATACCAAACGTCATTACTAGCGAAAAAAAATTTATTATACTAAATGTATGACAGATTGTACAGCGTCCCTAGCGGATACTTTGAAGAACTAAAATCTTCGTAGACTTTGAAGAACTAAAATCTTCGTAGATTTTTTATGCACTCGCTAGCGATAACGTTCAATACAAACTCGCACTAAGCACACAAGTAATTTGCAAGTTTTGCAACCAATTGTTAATTATGTATATGCCTCGGTAAAAGTCAACCATTTAAGTGGCTTCACCCGCGTGAAATTTAGTTTGTCACAGATCGTCATAATAATATATTATAGCCTACTAGCGGCCGCCCGCAACTTCGTACGCGTGGACCTTGTTTTACCCCCTTAGTTCGTAGAATCTGTTGTTAGATATCATGTTGATTTCACGGCTTCCCCCGCATAAATATTTACGAACGTCAAAAACAGTAGTTTGTCCAGCGCTGTAGATTTTAACCAATGACGATAGATGGCGCTTTTTAGACACGTCTTATTTAATTAATGAAATTTAATTGTTTGTATATCGTCATAAATTATAGCTTATTTGTTAATCTGGGTTGTAAACAATAATACTGTAAAGTTTAAACAAAATCCGTTCAGCAGTTTTTGCTTGAAAGAGTAACAAACATCCAGACATCCACACAAACTTTCGCATTTATAATATTAGTAGGAAGTAGGACTAGTAGGATTTGTTATTCTGGGTTATAAAGAATAATATTGTAAAGTTTCATCAAAATCCTTTCATTAGTGTTTGCGTGAAAGAGATCCATACAAACTTTCGCATTTATAATATTAGTAAGATTAGTAAGACATTAGTAAGATTTTGATTTTAATTTTGCATGGAAAAATTATAAAAGAATGCCCTAAATCAGTAAGTATTTTTTTTTAATCTGGGATCCTTACAGAGATTTATAAACTCAATTAAGTGAATGTAAGATATTACGGTAGGCGTTTTAATTTTGTCTGATGTCTTATCATGTCGTACATACACAATACACATATGAAATAAATTATTGTACTTTTTACGAAAATACAAGTTCTAATGTAATGAAAATGGACATCTTCTATTTTCTTTTCGTTTTTTGCTGCTAAACGCCGCGTATGAACATAACAGTTTGGTTGATTTTCTTATAACTTGAAAATTATGATGTTGGAAAAACGTAATAAGGCATCTGACAATATGGTAGGTACATAGAGTTACTAGTAATTTCATTCTTTCCAAAAGGCCAACATAATCCAAAAAAGAGACAATTGATAAAATGGTTTAATCTTGCCTCATAAAACATAATATTATTATGCTGGGTTGCACCATCTAATTAACTAACTTAACAAACTTCAAAAATCTGTCAAAGAAAGTTAGATTATGCAACTCAGCCTTTAGTGTCATATTATCACAAGCCTGTATAAATTATTTTTTTCTGCAGATTAATTTATTGAAATTTCTAGTAACTGTTCCAAAGTAATTGTAATGTTGGAATCTTAGGGATGGAATCTCGATAACTCATTTATTCATACCCGCAATTTATATGTAATGTGGTACCTAACAATGATATAATTGTATTGTAGAAGAAAAGAAATAAATCAACCTGATAAAATATGCTCTTTAATTTCTGTCATCGCCCAAAAATTTCTCCGGAAATAGCCATTTTTTTTGTACTTTCGGCCAAATCGGAATTCAATAATATTTTTTTCCAAGCTTAGCACAACTTTTCTGAACGTGTGCCATGGAGCTTATCTTATCTTATCAAAAATGACGTAGGGTTTCTCACGGTCCCCTCTCCTGCTAATAGTTCTTGCAACTCACGAAGGCGAGTGAGCTTTACTTTTGTGTGTACGTGTACATAACTGACATAACGATAGTGTATCAATGAACACTTTTGAAAAACAAACAGAGCGAGCCACCACACATGTAAGCTCACTCGCCTTCGTGAATTGCAACAACTAAACAAACAACAAAAACAACAACTAAACAAAAATAAATTAGTTAATGATTCTGCGGCGCTCTGAAAAATTTGGCAAAACCTTGCAGTCAACCTGTTTAGTGCAGTTAAGTTAATATCCACCTCGGCCTAAAAAGTCAAAATGGTTTCCTGGGATAGGTAATGTTATCCTGGCACGGTTTTCTTCGGTGAATGATCGGCTGAAGGTTCACATTTACTTACACGAGATTTATAGTTTACCTACTTGTATCACAAAATTGTTGTAAGACGACAACATTTTGTCGGGATAACGCACATGCGACTTACGGAAATATATTATTAGAGGCATACGACGTCATTGTAATTGTCACGTCATGTCACTCTTTTTGCCAGACCACATTATTGACAACCTGTCACGCCATGAGCAGACGCGCAGCTTGAGTGTAGGTACCTAAGTTTGTTTAACGAGGTATGTAACGCAAGGTTGGTTGTCTGCCAAAGACGTGCGTCTTTGCTACCGCTCGGCGTAATGAGCCCCTTACCTTGTTAAATCACTACGTGAACCGAAATTCACAAAGCCGTGTTTCATGTACCGAATGTCTTATAAAAACTGTTATTAAAGCTTAGGGAACCTTGAGAGATGAGATTTCCGGGTCGTATCGTTCAGAATCCCTTAGCTTAGCTGCATCGTTTCAATCACTTCTAAGATGAGAATGAACTGATTAGGGTAAGGTGGGGCACAATGTTACACGGGGTACAATGTTACAATGCATATTTCTCCGTCCCTTTCTATTAGTTGTATGTATGTTTGTATGATGTTGGTATACACGTTTGTCAAGCTCATAAGAACTGAGCCGCTGAACATCATACAACTATAGAAAGGGACGGAGAAATATGCATTGTAACATTGTACTCCGTGTAACCTTACCCTACTTTTTGTATCTGTCTAGCTGTCCCGACAGACGTTGTCCTGTCGAAAAGTTAATCTCAATTTCTTGAATTTTACACTATTAATTAACCTTCTCCTGACAATAACAAACATAAGAAAAAATAATTAGAGAAATCGGTCCAGCCGTTCACGCGTGCGTGATACGATGACCAAGGGAAATAGACATTATTTTTTATATTGATTAGAAAAATTCGGTCGGTCACAGAAATTCAAAGCGCGTCTCAGAATAAGAAAAGGTACGGTAATTGTAAAAAACCTTAAGTAGGTAATTGTGAAAAACTTGATAAAGTTGGTCTACATACGGTCTGGACTGTAAGTTTTTTTTGCATCATATTCTATTTCGTCTACCTATGTTTCACTTTCATTCGACAGTTCAGACCTTAAAAGTAAATCGAAGTTATTAGATTTATATCTGTACCTACTGTATCTTACGCAAATAAAGTAAATTATTATGTTCTAGTGGTGTAGAGCTAAGCCAAAACCGATAAATCGTTGAAGCACATGGTCGCAAACCATAATAACTGAGATAAATGGTTTGAGGTGTCATATGTATGTAAGACTTGGTCAGCTTGCATAATCTGGCACGAAGACCAAAATTTTAATGATGACTCTAGTTAATTATAATCTTGATGGTTTTACGACCAAAGCAAATGTTTCTAATTTTACCCGACTGTATAAAGGAGGATAAGCTTGTGAAATATTTTATTAAATCATTAGTCTACATAATAATATGTAACAAATAACACTACTTACCTTCTCCGCACCGCAAGTGAAGTAAGTTAAGGTAGGTAACTATTTTTTAACCGCTTCGTTTTTAAGATTTATGTTTGGTAAATTTACTATAAAAAATTGATTTTGCCAAATATTTCAAACTAATTTTAAACAATAAAATTGTCTCTGGTGGAACGTTAGTGGGATTTTTAGTTAATAATCAAACTATAAAAATAATTATGTCATGTATCAATTTACTTATTTTGGACGCTTCAATTTAACTATACCAACATGTCCTTCCTTCGCCGTTATAACTAAATTCTTGTTTAATTTACCGCAAATTCGACCATCGTGATAATAATACCTGACACGTGCCTTTATGCACGTTCTGCTGGACCCAAGAACAGATTTTAATTATGCTGTCAATAACGACACTATAAGGATGGGCTTCCCGGCAGAAATGCATTTAACATGCTCAATCAATATTGATTTAAATGAAATTCTTGTAAAATACACGCACCGCACACAGAGAGTGGTGAGGATGCGTGAAGGCATAGCTTAAAAATAGTCCGATCAAATAGGTGATTCGTTGTATGGACACTTCTGAATAATTCCTCTGCATATGAAACTTGGCACATGATGAAGATACTTAGGTAATACAGATTGATATACAATAATCCAATAAATTCCCGTAATGTTTAGTATTTTCACCTAAACATGATGCATTCTTATTGCTGCTACCTACGTAAGGTTGACATTGACTTATAAAATTTTAACACTAAGGCCCAGAACAGACGGTGAAACGCAACTGCAACGAAACTGCAACTGCTAGTTACTTTTGAGTTGCATCTAAGTTTCTGCCATAGCGTCCGTTGAGAGACCACACATGACGCGACCAGTTTGAAATTTTCAGTTTCAGTTTCGTTGCAGTTGCGTTTCACCGTCTGTTCTGGGCCTAACTTCTACTGAAAAAATGCTCTGCTGATTTTATTTTTTAATGTCAATGTCAACTTTACGGGGGTAGTAATATAATCAGAACGTATCATATTTAGGTTAAATAAGCAAACTTCCTAATAAAAGTTGTTGGATTAAAATCTACAATCTGTATTACCTACCTATTTTCATCATGTGCCAAGTTTCATACTTAGGCAGAGGAATTATTTGGGTTACAAAAGCTTCGTTGATTGGACTAAAAACCTTTTTAACGCTTGGTTACCAATTTAACCAATTGGCCGTGCATCTAGCGCCCGATTAACAATCTACAAAATAATGCCTTGGGGTGGATGTACGACGTACTTACGTATCAACATCAACCCATTTAAAATAGGGAGAAAATAAGTTTAAACTGTTTTTTAAAGTTAGTTTAATTTACACTTTCTGATATGTTAGCTGACGCAGACAGATATGTATATTATTACTACTACATACTAATGGATAGTTTAGTTATTTGTTTTTGACGAGACCCAAAGACGTCTTTCTTATGCTTTTCACAACTCGCAAAGATATCGTAGTCAAAGTGGCGGGCAAAAGCTAGTACCTAAGTATTGTACCTAATTGAAAATTGTCTTGTCTAGAGCCACG